ACGTCTCTAAATAATGGTAATAGCTCGGCGGATTATCACAATTTCGCGGAATTCGAATTGGAAAATAGCTCGGGTGCGTGTGCTTCTCCAAGAGCCGGAACAAGAAGAACGACGGGGCGATCTATCGACATCGATCAGCGAAAACGGGGATGCGCGACAGATCCTAATCGATATAGAGCGCACGTACGCAGGAGAACAAGGACCGCGAATAGTAACTACAATTAGGCATGAAAAGGATCGGTAATGCGCGTTGCCTCGTTCGCGATGAGACTTGTGATTCGCGAATTCTTCTCGATATGGCCGTTAGCGCGATATTTAATGTTTCCACGAAGACTCTCAGCTATATGCGGACATTACGGAACAGTTGTTTACTTCCTTTGCAGACAGAGGTGTGCAAGTTCCGGCTAATTCCACGAGAGTCCGGAGGTTAGAAAGATCGAGCTGAAGATGTCTTTCTTGCAATGAACTTGCTGCGGTTGGAACGATGCAATAAACTTGCCGCAGTCGGGACGACTGCTTTTGAAGAAACGGGGGCAATGTTGCGACGTGAAACCAGCTCACGAATGATGCCGTGAAGTCAGTTCTTGCAACGTGAAACTGGTTCGCGATTGAAGCAATGAAGCTAGTCCTGGCTACGAAATGAAGAGGTCCGCGGAAGTTGTCAGGCAGGACGAGCGGATCGAGTGGCCAGGACTTTCGGTAGCTGGGAACAACCGCGATGTTTAAATATTAGAACCGCGTCAGATTTCGAAGAGTACAGACTTGATTACAGATCTTAACACTTTGTTAATAAATCGTTTGAGTTCTTGAAATTCTGAGTTTGTGTGTTTTAATCTGTGATGGCTACTCGCGAGGAAACGCCCCGGCGCAACAATATATATGTGTATTATTTATTAAAAAATTTTTTTTTTTCCTACTTGTATACTTTATCACGCGTTTATCTTTTATTTCAGAGATGAAAGATTTTGACCTCCGCAGAGAGAAGTTCTCTTACCACGCAGCAGATCGGTGATACGTATCTATAGCTACGTTCAGCGACCTATACCTGTCTATCCCACCGCTGTCACCAAAAATTTAACTAATCGTGTAACGTCCCTGGAACCTAAGTTCAGATAGTTACAAGCGCTAAAAGGTAAAGAGCGGCTTTTACCCCTAAACGACTCGATTTTATAAATGAAGATTGTGGGATTCGTGTGGTGTGCGGTTAAGGAGTGAAATCCACAGGTCAATATCTTTCAACAATAAGATTTATTCAATAAAACGATAAGAAACAAAACTAACAAATAACAATAACAATAAATAAAGAAAAGTATATAGATTATAAATGATTAATTAGAATAGAGA